AAAAAAAATGTGCAAAATGATGTAAAAATAAACTTTTTAATGAAAAAAAAATCTGGGTATTTTCTTGTTGTTGACCTTTTATTCTTCCTCAGATACCAAAACATCTCTAACTCCACCCGCTGTTGCTGTTTTCTCTAAGTCTGAGTAAAGTAACCTGGTCAATAGTAACCATGGTGACTTTTTCAGTTATTTTTTAGAGAAGTATTGGTGATTTCCAAAGGTGGTTAGAGATCAGATTGAGAGTACACAGTAGGATTTAACTTTCCCCAGGGATAAGGAGTCTGCCATATCTGTCAAACCAGTTTGGAAGCAGCTGACTAATGACCTAGTGGATGAGATGAGATGGGAGAATGCTGAGTCCAAGACAGAGTGACTGCCATTAGGCTTAGGACCTGATGCACTCTGCTGTTTGTCTTTCTCCCTGTGTCACATAATCTAATCTTTCCTCTCTCTTTGTGCATTGTCCCTGATCTATGGGCCCAACCACTGTCAATTGCAGAAGGTTATTAGTAATGAAAGCAATTAATACTCACAGTATAAATTCAAAGAGATATCTCTAAGGACCCAGATTAAGGAAAAGCTTACAATTTCTTAACGCCCCTTTAGGGACTGGCATATTATGGTCCATGGGCCAAATTCCAGCCAACCTGCTGGGTGTTTACACATCCAACAGCAAAGAACAATTTTTACATTTTTTAAAAAAAGATTTATATTATTTATACCTACAGAACTGGGGTACAGGCCAGAGGTGCAGGGGTGGTGAGCGGATTCACCAGAGACAAAGTGGGGAGCAGAACAGGCAGACTAACAAAGTACACTGCTGAGGGGAGCAGTGGGCAGGTCAGGAGAAGTCTGCAGTGCCATGTGGATCACCTCCTGGGTGGGAATTGAACTCATGCTGAAGTGGTTTTAGCTTCTTAGTGCTGTGCTTTAACTGGCTGTGCCAGCCACCAGGGAGGGCCCTGATTTTTACATTTTTTTTTTATTTTTACATTTTTAAATAGCTAAAAAAAAAAGTATTGTGTGATTTGTGAAAATTGTGTGAAATTCAAATATCAGTATATTTTATAATCTACCATATAAATAAAAATTTCATGGGAACACAGCCATATTTATTCATTTATATAATATCTCTAGCTGCTTTTGTATAAAGTTGTTATATTTGTATAAGAGATCTGTAAAGACTATTATCTGGTCCTTTATAGGAAGGATTTGCAGTATACTGAGTTAGTCACTCATCTGGCATCAACTAGAAGAGCTGCCTGGAAATCATTGTGAGGGCAGTTCATGCCATTTCCCTCTGGTAGGCATTTGCTTTCCCTGGAAGCTCTGTCAGCTTGATGAATTACTCTAATGGATATTAATATTGGACAGGCAAGCTTGTATTTGCCTACTACTGAGCTGTCTAGGTTGCCAAATGATGGCTGTGTGTTGCCACTGCCCCATGTAGGAAAAATGAAACAGAAAAAGAAAGAAAGAAATATAGCAACAAGTTAACATTATTAGTTTTATAACATACTTATTCTATCCTGTACACACTTCAGTAACTGAGTTTAAAAACCATTATGGGTACAGGACAAAGCAAGATACAGACATAGTTCCTATTTATCTAGAAAATGTGAGTCAATAAAGACTGGAAAAATGAAACAATTGTCCTAACATCACTTTGTTTCTGAATGGAAAAACCAGGACTTGTCACCAGGCACCCTGACACCTCATTGCATTATGTAGATTCTTGTTCATGAAATTGCTGTGTGTATGACATTGTGAAGAATACCTTTATAGGTTTCAAACTGGGCCTCTTCTTTTTTCTCATTTCCCTGGAAAAAGTAATGTTACGATATTTAGCTAATTAGGTGTAATGTGCCTACTTTCCTCATTAGTAGGTAATGAAATTAACAGAATCTTGGGGGATTTTTTTTTCTATTTCTTTCACTTGGGAGGATGGGATTGTTATTAGATTGGAATTACTATGGAATTCATCTACAAAGTCTAGATTCTCACCTCCAATTAATGAGTCACAGATGCATGTGTTTACATAGGCTTTTATCAGTAGATAAAATCCTCGTATAATATTTGATGTATTTGGATGGTGATCTGCCTGTGATCCAGGATGCTATGGAGCTGTACTTTGCTGCCAGTGGTTTGGTAATGTGCATCGAGTTAATGGCTCCTAATGTTGGAGTTTTTGTATCACTGTATTTTTGTAAGTATAACTTCTGGAGGTGATAAGTTTCTACTCTGTTGAAT